TACAAGAAAGATCGAGCCCACCATCACTCCCATCACTACTTCGAGAGCTAACAGCCATACGGGTTTTGAAGCACGCGGCTCTGGCTCTGGCTCTGGCTCCCCTTTATCTTCAGCGGGTTGGTGTTTCACCTCTCCTTGCTTTTGCTTTTGGGGTTTAGCTGGCGGAGCAATATCTACATCCAGAAAACCAACTTGATTTCGATTTCAATTTCAATTTCAATCGGTTTACGCATAATATGATATAAAGATTGTTTGTTAGCCACTAAAACGTACCACATTGTCGGGGATCCCGTGGCTTGATATCTTTGTACTTTATGCAGTTTCCCTGAAAGCTGGTCCTGCAATGGAAGAACAAAAGAAAATGAGAAAAAGCATGACCCGTAAAAGAATATACGAAGCAGAAAGAAAGGTTACCTCGGAAGATATTCCAAGCACTTCGGTATGCTCCCCACGAGGAAATTGAATGAAAAATCAGCAACTTTTAAAGGAGATGCACGACAAAAACCTAGTGCATTCGTATCCGAGGCATACCTGGACCGGCAGAATCTAAATATTAGAGTTAAGAATATGCAATTTGACCCAAAAATGGAGCTTTGAAAAATGTATTCATTATGAATAAACAAGCCGGCAATATGAAAATAGTAAGACTGATGGGAACGTCTTTTACTTACTTTCCTCTCATGGTAGAAGCAAAATCTGTAGCGTTAGCACCTGGAACGGTTCCTTGTAGTTTATTTCTGTCCAATCGAAGCTCCTGAAGGTTCTTGAGATTGCCAAGCTCCGGAGGCAATTTCCCAGTTAATCCATTCGATTGTAAGTTTCTAACAAATACATATTAGCTTCAAAAGTAAGAGAAACAGCGATAAAAGTGAAAAAGCCTGATCATTTATTCTTGAAATGACGAAATTCACATGTGAATATAGACTTACATTTTCACAACACTAGCCAGATCCCCGATTTCATGTGGGATTCGTCCAGATAGCTGGTTCATCCCCAAATCCAAGACTTTCAAGTGCTTTAGCAATCCGATTTCTTTGGGTATTGGACCGATGAGATTATTACCATGTAAAATCCTGCAAAGATGACCGTTTCTTGATGAAAATCTTGGATTTTTATCGTGTTCTTTAAGGTAAAAGCAAGATGTCGAAAGAAAACATACAGTTCACTTAAGGATGAGAGCTGAAACAGTTCTTCGGCGATGAACCCCTTTATGGAACAGCTAGAAATGTTGCTGAACAAACAGATTTAAAACCCGAATTACTTTCAATACCAGATATCATTCCCATTAGAGTCCATTTTGTCAGAATGGGCCAAAAAATGAGTTTCATTAGGTAAAATACCACTCAAATTCTCAAGTCTACCGGTCATAGATTGAGAATTCCTCAACTTTTGCAACAAATTACCAAAAGGGTACTTCTAAAAATGAGTTTTTTTTTTTAAGGGAGTCCCAAGCTATGTCTGGACTAATCCTGGTAAATTGTGACAAAAAGCCGTGATAAACAAACTCAGTGACCACAATAGTTGTGTACAACTAGAACCAAACCCTAGGCAGATGGGATGGATATCCCACCACATTCCCAAGAACCTCAACCACTACGCCATGACCCGGTTCAAATTCTCAAGTTTACCGGTCATAGATCGACAATTCCTCAATTTTTGCAACAAATTACGAAAAGGGTGCTTCTAAAGATGAGTTTTACATCAAAGAAATAGGTTCACCAGTTCAAAAAATGGAAGTGTATATCTAAAGGAGATGCTTCTAGAAACTGGTCAGATACATTCTTACAAGAAAAGTGTGTATTTCTAAAGAAGATGCTTTCAGAAACAGAGAGATTACTCTTCTAGAAAGTTCAAGAAGGAACTGCATAAAGAAATAGACATACAAGAATCAAAGAAAAGCAATTGCTTACATTTTTGTAACATGATCACCAGAACCAGAGCAAAAAACACCAACCCAATTACAAGGGTCTGAATCTAAACCATTCCAATTTGATAGAATCAATAATGGGTCATCAAATATAGCTTCTTTGAACACTATGAGAGCATGAACTGCAAAAATGAAAAAGATCAAGGAACTGAATCAAATTGGGTGTTTTCTTGCTATAAACCCTAAGAAATCAAGATTTTCCCCTGATAAAATTTCTTAAAATTACAACCCACATTGCTCCATATATCTTCAATCAAGATCATAAACACCTTCTAACACCATTCAAGATCAGTGAGGAACGCATACCTTCGTTAGGATGAACAGCATCGCATTTTGCAAGAAAGAATCCGAAAGTAACAAAGATAAGTTGAAATGGAATCAATCGTTTCATTTTCTCTCTCTACGACATATTAAATTGGTAATCCCCCAGAAATTACGCAGAAATCGAGAGAGAAAATGGAGGAATACGAGAAAAGAATCAAATGATTTGGGAAAACATGCTGAGAAAGAGGGAATCTTTCATCAAAATCAAGAACACAAGAACAAAGGTTGGAGACTTGAAATCTGTGAATCTTTTTAACAGCAACCCACTGAACAGATCAGTAGAAAAATCCAAAAAAGATAGTTTGGGAAGTGAAATCAGGAAGATTAAAGCAACACCCAGTTGATGAAAACTTGAAGTTGAAGAGAGATTTGGTGGCAAAAGGGTTTCAGAAAAATTGCAGAGAATCAGAAAATGCAGAAATGTGGGAAAGAATTTTGGAGAGTGAGAATGTTTGATATCTGGATGAAAAAGATATTAATAAATTGGCGGTTTTTTGGATTTTTAATTTTATTTTACCAATCATTGTTTATTGTGAATTACACGATAATTTGTCAATTTATCGTACTCCTGAATAAATTATTATTTTATTTTTTATTAATTATTTTGTATTTATTAAATAAAATTTGAGTTATTTATGGTTAAAATCGCCAGAAATATATGAAAAAATATGTGAGAAATTAGCTCAATTGATCGTTTCCTTCGTTTAAATTGGTCTTCTAATCATTTTTTTATACAAATGTCACTACATCCGTAATACTCAGGTCTGCAATATGGTCAAATTCAACCAGTTTACCGTCGTAATTGCGGACAGGACTGTCACAATTTTGATCTTTTATTTAGATCTGCAATATTGTGAACCTGGATATTGTGGAACCGGGAGATAAATGGTTAAGAGGTCAATTTGAATGAGAACAATAGTCATTATACTCAATGACTCAAGCCCAATTTTTCTCTCCATCCGACCCAAAACAGACTCGGCAGCATCTTGCAGCGTTAAATGGATGCTGAAAAAGAGGAAAATGTTATACTAATAATTTAAAAACGAGAGAAGGATTCTTTTGGTGAACGGCAACAAACAAGACAATGAAGTCCATAATTGGGTAAGCCATCAAGCAAATCTACTGAAAGCCAGTGAAACCTACGACATCCATCGAGATCCCATAATGATTCTATCGAAAGAGATCATCAAGATCCCATCGACAAGGCACAATCCAACAGTCTGACATTCTCTATCCTCCTTCTTATCCCACACCCATCGAGAGAGACAACATAAGAAAGACAGAGAATTTTGACTATCAGTAAATGTTTAAAGACTGTAATTTCTTTCAATTAACATTTAAAATCTGAACTGCTTTTAACATATTACAGTATTGTAATTGGATATTCATAACTTCAACCTTCAAACACTAGCATTTAGCTTATCACCAGTGTCATATTGAAATAAGTCAAAAAAACACTTAAAATAAGCAATCACAAACACCCCTTGAATATCAAAAGGTATGAATTTTTTTGAGTTTGATAGATCTTGAATAATTTAGTATGTAATAAAGAAAAATTGTTATATGAGTAAAGTACACATTTGGTCCTTGTGGTTTCTCAAAAGTAACATCTTTTTCCCTTACATTATCGAAATTATAAAATAACCATCATGATTTGTAAAAACGTTCGCATTTGGTGTCTTCCTCTGATGGCCGCTAAAAAAAACTCATTAAATGAGGGTCATTTTCATTATTTTATCCAATCAAAAACCATAGGGACAAATCATAAAATCGATTTTGAGCCTGTATTTTGTTCTGACAGTTTTTCTAGAACCATCTTTAAAAACTTCTTTAAAATGAAAAATAAGGGAATTTTGAGCCTGTATTTTTGCTCTGACAGTTTTTCCAGAACTATCTTCAAAATGAAGAAAGTAAAAGAAATAATGGTTTTTCCTCAAAATATGAAAATCATCCCAAAAATGATTATCAAGTGAGAGCATCAATTGAAAACTTTGAAAATAAATATTTAGATAGAGAAATAATATTTTAATCGATAAATCAAATATTTAATATTATAATCAATGTTAGATTTTTTAAAATAAAGAATCTGTTGGAAATGAATGTAATATTTTTTTCAGAGATTGACTTTTGGTACTCCATTTTGGAGAAATTTTAAATAATCTGTTGGAGATGTTCTTATACAGTAAATTAGAGTGGCATGTACAATACTTCTTTCTTAAATTATTTTAATTTTTTCTTTCTATTTATTTATATTAATTTAATATATTATATTATTAAATATTTGTTTTAAGATGTTTTTTTCGATCATGCTTATCAGTTAGTTTTTGCCAAACATAATTTGTTTATTAGCTAGCTTATCAGCTATCAGCTAATTTATCAACTACCAACTAGCTTTATCAGCTACCAGTTAGGGTAATAAACACAACTGTGAGCATGAAATATATAATTCCACAAAAAAATTAATTTTTTCGTTACGTGTAACTCTTATTAAAAGAAACTATAACTTTCACGATATAAATATGAAAACAGTCAGGATAACAAACTGGGTGAATGGATTCACTACCAATTCTAAACTTGTATAACGCGCACATTCATATGATAAACCAGTGCAGACGAAGTGACACGAATATCCCCTGTAGCCAATCAATATAGTCAAGGTTATACAATAAGGATCTAATTGGATTACCAACTTCTATCTGTAGGAAGAACTCCTCGATATCTGGGCATCCACTTTTCTAGTTCAGATGTTTAAATTCTTTCAAAACAAACTATAATAAAATTTCGTATCGTATTAAAACGTTAGTCACAAAATGTATAAATGTTGAAAAACATATTTTGCAAATATAATTTATAAGTATTTTTTTATTTTTTGATTAAGCTGGATATCCAACCTGCTATACGAGCTGGCTAATGTCAGGGCGACCACCTACTTTGCAGATAGTCCGGAGTCACCGCATTTGAACCTTCGTGGTCACAAGAAGATTTTTATTTCTTCTTGGATTTAAACCTGGGACCTTCTGCTACTTTTGACCGTTAGAGTCAAGTTCAAACCAATCAGGCACCACCCTTATGGTTATATTTATCTTTTATGTTCTTTACATATCAAATATCAAAAAAAATTCGTACAAAAATGCATTGTAGTGTCATTATTGTTTATTACCTTGGAAGCAAAATGTACTCAAAAGCAAGTGGGGTCTCCCACAATATCCAATTATCAATATTTGAACATCATCAAGAAAATATATACTAATGATCATATGAGAAGGAGAGTTAAGGCAAGAAACGTAAAAAAGAGATTTTCACATTTGATCACCTTTAATCTCAAACTCACGCATGAATCACGTTTGATACGGAAATTGATCTGGTACATCTCTCTGCATCTCATTCTAATCTCGGCTTCTACGTTTTTCACATTAGCTCTTCTTCTCAATGGAACCCAACTCATCGTTGTGATATCTCTTACTTAGTAACATGTTTGAATCAAAATCAAGCTATCACTGAATTATTTGACCAAAATAATTTTGAATTAAAAAATGTTTATTTTATTTTATAATATCAAAAAGAATATTGAAAAATATATATTTAAAGAGAGTAAAATTCATCTTAGAAGGAAAGATTTGTTAGTGGGAGTAGTTAGATCTTCTCTTGTTTTCTAGTTAAAGGATTTGCTTTTATAACATTTTATTTACCACCATATTCAATCCTTAATTATTATAAAATTACTATTTTATAATATTTAAAAAATATTAATTATTAAAAAATTACTATTTTATAATCATTAAAAAGATTAATTATTAAAAGCCAAAAGAATGAGTCAATTTCCAAAATAAATTTAATGCCCAAATTTAATTAAAAAAACTATAATACATTTAGAATTTAACATTTGTATAAAAAAAAGTACACAAATAATACTGAGTTGGATACCGCATCACTTGTCACATCAGCATGGTAACCGGTTAATGCTTCAACCGGTTACCCGGATACTTAAATGTTTAATGGAAGTTTTGAAAATACGTTACCCCAAATAAGAATCAAATTAAAATATGTTACTTTTTCATTCAATTTACCTTTAATAAAAATAAAAATAAACTACAAATTTGGGTATTTGTGGTTTGTCGAAAATAACACTTTTGTTCCTGTAGTTTTGAAATTAGTCATTATGGCTTACAAAAATATTCAGATTTGATCTGTCACTTTAATGGTCGTTAAAAAATTATGTTATCGGTTTTTTATCTCTAACCCAAACAACTACAAAAACAAAATTATATGATCGATTTTGATGGTGTAAACGACAAAAAAATCAACAAAATGACAAAATGTTTCTCATTTAACGAATTCTTTTAATGGGTATTAGATGAAGGAACCAAATTTGAATCTTTTTTGCAAACCAACGGCCATCTTGAAATTTGGAAACTGTAGAGACTAAAAGTGTTATTTTTGTCAAACTATAAGGACCAATTTGTAGTTTACTCTAAAAATAGAGTCATTAAGCCCACAACTGGATGGACCAAAATCAGCTTTTTTAGTGGCCCATGAGTCCAGGCCTTTTTTCATTAAAACAATTTTTACAACTGATTATGAATCTCGTTGTTAGCAAGTTTAATAAATTTAATGAGACTCACAGTTTATATAGTCAGCTATACATGACTGTTTAGTAATGACTTGATGATATAAAAATGATTTATTTAATAAATTTCTAGGTGAGAGCTTTATACCAAGTTTTTCCAAACCTACCTCTTCAAATTAAAAAAAAAAACCAAAGGGTCTTTGGCCTAACGGTATTGTAGCTCTTGGCCTCCTAGGAGGTCAGGGGTTCAAACCTCACCATAGGTGAGGAGGGTGTGTGAGTTTATTTGTTGCATTTGCCGTATATAAATATTATATACTTCAAAAAAAAATTAAAAAAACATGTTCCTTCCATTTATAAAAAAACACTCACAAACAAAAAACTTTTACAATTTATACAGACATATTAATCCACAAAGACAATTTTACTTCTACACGACTAATGAAAAACCAATCAAATAGCTTCCAAATGTATTTACTTTTATTTTTATTAAAGTATGG